CAGCTGAGACGTCTTTTGATGATGTCTTTGGTGTGTCGACACCTGCGGAGGCCATAAGCTCCGCTCCGGCGCCTGCTGCCGCTCCCGAGCCCTCCACGGATGCTTTCGGTGTGCCATTAGGCGTGGCTTCGTCTGGCGGCAGCCCATTCTACGCCCTGGTAATGGTTTCGCACCAGTCGCCACACAACCTGCTGTGGCCGGTGTGAACGCTTTCGACGAGGCCCTCGGCAAGATCCCCGCTGGGTCGTCGCCCGCACCGCAGTTCACCACATTCGACTCTGCTTTCGATGACAACTTCGACTTCTCGTCTGCGTCCGCAGCAGTGGAGACGCCGTTCCCACCGGCTCCTACTGCCAACGGACAGTCCGTGTCGCCGCTGCCTCCCAGCGGAAAGAACGACTTCGACAGCATCTTCTCCAGCGCGGCCAATGGCAGCACCCCTGCGCCCGTGAATGAGATGACGAAGCCCTTCAGCAACGGTTCCTCCGTGCCGACCTTCGCAGCCTCCACACCAACGGGCGACCAGACGTCTCAGAGCGGCAGTCTGCAGGGCAAGCCTGCACCACCCGGCGGAACTTCGTTTGACGAGGCGTTTGCCGGGTTCGAAACCAGGTCCGACCCGAACAACCTTGGCGGATCTCTCAACTCGCCCGTGACAGCGAAATCCCCGACCGCTCCTGGCGACCTCGGGGCAAAGCCTTTCCCAACTACTTCGCCGGCTCCATCACCAAAGACCGCAAGTCCGCCGCCTCGAGGAGCGACTGCACGGTCAATTTCTCCTCCGCCGCGCCACAGATCGCCACCGCCTCCTGGGCGCAACACCACGTCTCCCAAGCCGCGGGCTTCGACCGGGTCCAGCAAGGAGGAGAAGCCAAAAGAGCCTCCGACTCGCCACTCAAAATTAAGCGTAAGCTCGCTGACCTGAAGCACAGAACACTTAACTTACACGATGCCTGCTTAGATTCGTTTGCCCTTTGGTAAGAAAAAGAACAAGCAGGAGCCCCTCCCTGCAGGCCCTTCGCATCTCTTGACTCCGCCGCGGGAGGAACCACAGAGAACAGCCACTCCTGCCGTGGATGACGATGTGGAAGCGGTCAAACAACTCACCGCGATGGGATTCAGCCGCACGCAAGCCGTCGATGCGCTGGAGGCCCAGGGCTATGACGTGCAAAAGGCACTAAATAGCTTACTCGGTGCACAATGAGGGCGTATATAAATCGCGACTACTACTTATGGTAATTTTTCAATAACATGGATTGTCGGGGACAAGTATTTATCGCTGCCCCAATCACATTCCCTTTTACAAGCCTATAATCAATTGGCGAAAACATGTGCAAAGTGACAGTGCGGATGGATACAAGTGCAAGAGCTAGAAATATGCATAGAAAATAAATCAGGTACGAGTATCAGCCAGCTATTTCAATGGGGAGCCTTGTAGGTAATTCCAATGGTTCTGAGATTTGAGCAAGCCAACCAGTCCAATCTCTCTCCTTTTGCCGGCTACGTGTAAGTGAAGCGAGCTGAGAAACGGTGGGGTGGTGGGCACAGAGGACCAGCAAGTGATCCGACATGTCGCGAGTGTGCTTAAGATGGAATTGGTTTTCGCCCAATACCATAAACGGAGAAACGTCGAGCAACCCATTCAGTGGAAGCTGTAGAGGTCATCAACAGGTCGCATGTAGGAGTTGACGCTCGACCTACAGCAAATGGTGGAGACATGGGAAAATCTATCCGCTGCCCATTCCACAGGGAGTTCATACTCAGACCCCCTACAAGAGATAAATAAGTGATGGATTGGTGCGGATAGTTAAACGTACCTGTCTTTGGCCATGAACATTCCAAATCGGGCAGAACGGTTCGGATGTCTTTGCTTCCAGATGCGTTAAGACGAGCTCTGACATCATCGTACGAGAAGCAAAGCAGAGTTAGACACAGACTCTCTCGAACGTCGCTTGGAACGTTGTTTCGTCAGGCGGCGAAAAGGTAGGAGAAGGGATCACTGACTCGGAATGTTTTGAACGTTCGTTCCACTTCATTATACAATCCAATTGTTTTTGGTTGATGTTGAAATTGATGATTATCGTGCCGCTTGGTAAACCACGGTAATGAGTAATGATAGTCACCGTCTCAATACCAGTTGCTAAGATTGAAGGAGATCAGGGCAGCCGCTAAGAAATCGTATAATTGGACGCACTCGTTGATGGGACCTCCTCTACGACATATTCCACATTGGGCGTGGAATTTTCAAGAGCCAAAGAAGCGCTTTCGGTTGACGAAGACGCCGTAAGTGTGGTCGCAGTTATAAGCTCGACGGGATGGATTTTCGAAAGATCTTCATCAGTTGAGGGAGGAGTGAGCAACTCGCCTCTGTGGCCTGTAAGGCTGAGTAATCTTTGTTGGTTGGCTTTATTGATCACGTCGATGATGGCACGAAATGCATCTGTATTGCCCAAAGCAAGCTCATCAAGAGTGTTACCAGCTTCAGTTTGCTGGGACACCTCTGTCAGAGGAGGTTCTGTTTGAGTCAACATCGGAGTATCCACAAGTTCGCCCGTCGGTGCAGTGCTACTTGCTGCGACTTCCGCGTGGGTTTCCAGAGCTGCCCCCGGAGCGACAGGGTGGTCGCCACCTTCTGAGGAAACACAATGCATACTTTCTGGTACTGCCTGAGTGTCCACGACTACCTCGAGAGCGGCAGGGAGGACGATATCGTCTGGGGAAACATGAAGCATGGCTTCTGGTGCCGTTTGAGTATCCAGAGTTGCCTCAAGAGCAGTAGGGGGGTCGATTTCTTCTGAAGAAATAGGATGCATAGCTTCCAGTGCTGCGAGGGTCTCCACAGTTGCCTCAAAAGCGGCAGGCAGGTCGACATCTTCTGAAGAAACAAGAGGCATAGCGTCAAGTGTCTGCGCCACGGCGACTGGATCAACACCATCGGAAATAACAGAATCCGCCGTTGTTACTGGATCGTGGATGTTAGTTGAGGGACCTGTTATCTCGGTCGTGGGTGCAACAGTCAATGTACGCAACACACGGTTAATCTCCTCCTCGAACGCCGCAGGAGGAGCGACTGCTAACCCTACAGCTTCTGCAGACGGAGGTCTGGAATCTTGGCGTTCAGTGTGTTGAACGGATGAAGGCAAAGAAGGCGATTCAAGGTCAGGTACAGCAATTGACTGTGAAAATGAGAAAATGCCCGAAGAGTTTAAAGTGCACGTACAGTAGCGCGCACAACATCCGGTAATTGTACATCGACCATTTCGATGTCTTGCCTATCTGCCTGTATAGTCTCAGTTGACCGGTCCACAGTGGTCATAGTCACATCAGCATCATTTTCGGGAGGGGGGTCCTTGACATCTACGATGTCCGGCTCAAGAGCAGTCGGAATGTGATTTGCAGGTAGAGATACTGCAGCTGGGGTTCCCTCCGACGCACCCCCCGCAACAGAAGAAGACCCGGCAGATACATCAAGAGTAGCCACAGATAGGTGAGGCGAGCTGTGTTCCACCTTGGGAACAACGTGGGCTACTTCTATTGGTTTCTCGACGAATCCTTTTTTCTGTTTGAAGTCGACTTCGACGTCGATCTGGAGGAACTTTGAAAGATCTTGCTTTCGCTTCTTCTTCTTAAGTTTGAGCGTGGATGAGGAGGCAACTACAGACGAAGATCCTTCGCAGCAGCTAATGAAGAAGATGCAGCTCCCGACTGAGGCCGGGGGACCGGAGCCTGTGGGGATTCATGTCAGGAAATTTGGGTCTTGACCAAGATGTGCCACTTACTTTGTTAGCGGCAGTGGCCTCGGGAGGTGCATGAGAAGATTTTGATGGAAGAGGAACTTGACTACCAGATTGTGGCCCGAGGACCGGAGCCTATATAGAATTAGTTCAGGGTATTTTGGGGTTGGCCAAGATGTGCCACTTACTTTGTTAGCCGTAGTGGCCTCGGGAGGTGCGCGAGAAGAAATTGATGGAAGAGGCATTTGATCTTGACTGCCACCACGAACCGGAGGGAAGGTCAATGCTGAAGACAAAGACGACGAGCTTGGGCGCATCTGTCGGCTTGCGTCTATTATGGCTGAGACGGCCATGGGGTTCCTAAAATCAATGATCGTTCAATAAAGGACACAGGCAGGCAGAATAACTATATTATATACGGAGTTGTAGTCTGAGCGGTCGATGTAGAGGGATGCTGAAAAGGTATGACAGTTTCAACAAGCCCTTTGATTATCCCTATGCATGCATTCGACAAATGAATATTTGACACGCGTAAGAATCAAGTTTGACTGACCCTGATAATCTGCCTCAACGAAGTGGTGTTGGTAGGGCTCAATAGCAAGGATCAGTTGAGTATAGGTATCGGTTAGTTGGTGAGCGGGACACATTGATACATGAAATGGGCGGTCTGGTCTGAGTCCCGCTGATACGCAGAGAGTATGCCGAGCGGTCTACCGGTGCCATTATTGCTTGTTAATCCAAATGACGATCCGCTGGTCTGAAATATGTACCAAAAGGATGTTCAAGATCTGGAAGAAAGTCAGGGAAGGCTCGAAGAACGGAACAACTAGTTGAACCTGTGGTCGGGCTTCGGCATAGTATGCCTTGCCGTTCTTCAGCCATCCCGCAAGCTTGTTGGCCGGGCCGATATAGTTCTCGGGGGCATCAGAAGCGAGCTTTTTCAACAGATGTGCGAATAGTCTAGGTCAGGTTTGCTTGAGTGTCGAGGGATGCAAATAATAAGATCAAGTGTGTAACTTACTTCCTATTCTGTTCCGCGACTTTGGTGGCTTGGGCTGCAGCGTCCATTGTCTCCCGGTGTCTCGTCTTCCGGGAGATTGGCAGCGAGTGTGGACGGAGCTACAGTTTCTGATGATTCGAAGTCATGGACGAGTATGTACAAGGTAACATAACTTCTTGCGGGCGGCGGGCCGGGAACTCTGAATGATGATTAGGCACTGATGTAGCTATACCGGTCATATATGCTACCGGTAGACAAGTGAGCAAGACACTATAGCTTAGTGGTTGAGCACACGATTGCAATTAATCGTTATCGTGCGGTCCCGTGTTCGACCCACGGTAGTGTCTAATCTTTTGTTCTTTTTTTCCGTCTCATCATTATTTTACAGTGGCCTTATGGGCTCTAAGTTTGCTCTCAGTACTAGTATTGCGACTCAGGTTGCTGCCTGACCTTTGTAATTATGTCCAGCTCGCTGCATAATCGCTTCGGGAAACGAGCCGGATGGAAGGGAGCGCGTCGCTTGAGGTGTCGCCGCCGATGCATATGGAGTGTCTGATTACTGCCAGGCAGATGAATTAAATTTCTATGTAATTGTGCCTTGAGCTTTGCTTGAGCTCAAGCAGAGATTCAGGTGCATGGTGGCCGGCTACAGTCAGCGTCTCAGACGGAATATAGAAAGAACAAGCGCTTACGCTGAGCAGATTGCTTTGTATTTTTTCATGCATACCGCCGTCAATAACGCGCCGTAACGCGCCTTGTCTGCGACAACGGCCACCGTTGTGGCAGTCAATCAAGCATCCAACGTGAACTCTTTCAACAACTGATAAAGGGACACTGCCCCCGCTCGACATTGCAAGTTGGGACCCTTATAACGAACACCGCCCTGACACGACAAATTTCGGAGCTCCCGCCGTTGTGTATTTCTCGATCGCTCTACCACGTACCTCCACCACGATCAATAGACGCGGTCGCTCCTCCCACGCTCCTTCCGTAGACTGAGTCGGTGATTCGTTCCCATGTTCGACCTAGTCATCGTGGGCGAAGGGGGAGGACCCGACGAAACTAATTTGTCCGCGTAAGTCTCGCGTTCGGGCCCACGTGGCATGTTCACCATTTTTTTTTGCATACAGCTATCTGTTCAAACCGTCTGCTGCTTCATGGGAGGACGGGATCGTAGCTTTGGAGGCAGGTGCGTGCACCATTTACCATCTACTCTCTGTGAATTTACCCCTTGACCCAGGATCTGGCCAAGGAGCTGTGCAGAAGCTCCTCGAGCATGATCCTCATCTGTTCAATTCACTGGAGCAGTCCTCGTCGCGTACAAAGCCGTACTCGGCCTCTGAGATCTACTCGCTCGTGCGGTTCGTTAACCTGTATAAATATTCCGTGAATAGACGCTTAGACCGGAGCCAGTTGTTTCCTCATCTCTCACGCGCACCTGGACCACGTCAATAGCTTGGTTATATCGGCTGGCTCGCTCGGAGGACCCCGCAAACGTCTTTTTGCAGCGAAGCAAACGCTCGAAGACCTGGAAAGCGTGTTTTCAGACCGCATATGGCCCAACTTGGCTTCGTGGAGTGAGAACGACGACAATCACAAACTTCTATACAGCGCGTAAGTAACGAGAATATCGTATACCGGTTTCTGCTTACACCCTCGCAAGCCTCGGGATGAACGACGCATATGAAACCTATGTCCCAACGTGTCCGTGCGTGGGCTCCCCGTCAGCCACGGCCACAACGAAGCAGGCAATTACGACTCTGCGGCCTTTTTTATCCGCTACGATCCCACCGGTCACGAATTCTTGTTCTTCGGAGATGTCGAGCCTGACTCTATCTCCCGCACGCCCCAAACGATCAACGTCTGGCGTGCCGCTGCTCCAAAATCCCGGCATCGCTCTCCACCATATTTATCGAGTGCTCCTGGCTTCTGCGAGAAGTGACGACACACTATACGGCCATCTCAAGCCTGAGCATCTAGTAAGCGAACTGGAGGTGCTGGCGACGGAGGTCGTGAAGGTCCGGAACGGCGGACGAGTCTCGGGAACCTCTGCCCGGCCCGTCCGCAAAAAGCAGAGGAAGAACCCATCCGACCGCCTCAAACTGATATCCGTGGAGCCTTGGAAGGGGTTCGCGTGTTTGTCATTCACTGCAAAGACACTCTTGACGGGGCCCGGATCGACCGAATCAGACCGTCATCATTGAGCAGATCAAATCCCTAGTGGAGGCAAAAGGGCTTGGGGTAGAGATTTTGGCCGCCCGTCAAGGGATGTGTGTTCGTGAGTCGTGTCTTCCTTACAGCACTTCAAGTCAAGGACTCATCGCAGTGACAGAGGTATAGCCCCTCCGGACTTATTTATATCTTCTTGCAACTACCCTTGCTTGGCTCGTCCACTCCGCTGTATAACTAGTCCTTTTGTAGCAGTAGTGTTTCCCATTCACACGTATTGATATTCTTTAGGTATGTTCCACAGAGTGGTGCGATTATTCATAAGTAATTGCGTTCATGACAGTCATTAAAAACATATGTACAAGAAGAAGCGAAGAAAATTCCCGTATGAACATTCTAATTATAAGCAAAGCTGTGGCGCATGAGTAGTCCACGACTAAAAGCGAGGAACATCGGTGATGGACGGGCTACGATGATGCGTAAAGCTTTACAACACCATCGGCTCCGGCGCTGGCCATGAAGGGTAGTGAGGGATGGAATTCGACATCCAGCACGCCTTCGCGCGCCTTTTCTCGGTGAGTAGTGATCTCCTGCACACATGCGCGCGAGCCGAGTAGATCCCAGAAACGCACGGAACAGTCGTGGCTGCCGGAGACGAGAGAGAAGCCGGCAGGGTCGATGGACAATGAGGTGACGCCGTCGAGATGAGCTAACATCGAGTGGGTACATTGCCCTGTGAAACAACAATCAGGCCAAAAACGTCGTGATCCACAAGAGGAACACAAACCGGTCACGATATCGAATATCCGGATATACTTGTCCTCATGGGCGGTGACCAGGAGAGACATAGTCGGATGTGATACTATCCGGTTGATCTGAGTAGCTGGAGTGCCATCTATGAAACCTAAGTTAGACCAGCACAGGCAGGCTCTGGAACAGTGCGCGCACCATAGCTCATATCGGTCTGCAATCTAGACAGCTCCTTCCCGCTCTCGATATCGAATATCTTAACGACCGCGTTTTGATAGGCGACGGCGACCTTTTTTAGGTCAACCTTGAGCGCTTCGACCGCAGTCGCGCCGGGAGCGTCCATGTCCTCCCGCAGCTCGTCCGGGTTCTCTAGCCCCGACCACCCCCACGTCAATTTCAGAGAACCGCCCCCGGACGGGCCGCTAACGTCCCACACTTTCACCGTGCCCTCCGCGCCGCAGCTGATGAGGGTGCTCTCGTCCCGCACAAGTGCGAGATCCCACACGGCGTCAGTGTGTCCGATGAGCTCGCCACGCGCGCGGGTTTCATCATAGGGTGCGTATGTTGTATGCGATGGCGAGGGGAGCGCCCAGACGCGGATCGAAGAGTCGAGGGACGCCGAGTACAAGAGCTGCTTTGAGGGTGCGTGCATCAACCGTGTAATGGCTGCCGAATGGCCACGGAGCGTCAGTTGTGGCTCGATCTCAGTCGTTGGTCGTGAGCTGGATATCAGGAGAAGTTAAAGGGATGCTGGAGAACTTCGTTGCGGGTGTGGACATACGCAGACGAGGCGAGACCAGCAACATCCATCCGCCATATTTTCACCGTGCAGTCATCTCCACCTGTAGCCAGAAAGAGTTCATGGGGGTGGAAGGCGAGCGCTCGAACGGCATCCAAGTGACTGGTGTACAGATAAGTGGGATGACTCGGAAACGGAACCTTGGCTCGACGCACTTTCTCAATGTCCGTTTTGGCCGCCAAACCTTGTTCCCATCACCATCGCTGACTACAGACGACTCGTCATCATCGACCTCGCCGTCTTCGTCCTTACCCTCGTCCTCTTCAGGCCGTCTGTCCCATGCCTGCTGACTTTCGCGGGCGAAGCGCGCCTGTTCAGCCTCATGTGACAACCTCAGCCTCTCTCGCCATTCGCCTGCATCATCCGGCCGGAAAATCGCTGTCAGCTGGCGCGGTTCAGACTCGCCCTCCCTCTCCCGCTCCCCTGGGCCGTTAGACGAAGTTGGCTGCGAGGGCACCATGTTTTGCTGCATAGGCTGGGTCTGGCTTGGGGAGGGTTGCGGCGGCTGTTGCGGTTGTTGCGGCATGTGTTGGAGCTGGGGTATTCCCGAGCCGAGGGGGTTGCTTCGCTCGAGGTTTGGAACCTGCGACCCAGTGGCCGCGGGTGCAGAAGAAGGGCTGACATCAGGCCGATGTTGCCGTTCAGCATAGGAAAGTCTTTGCCCGACTCCGGCAAGAGTTTCCGCGGCCTGCCGTTGAAAGCCATTTGCTCAAACGGCGGCGCGTTCGGAAGGGTGAGCGAGATGGAGCCGTTGTTGAGTAAGGGTCGGTTCGGTAATGGGTTCATGGCTTGCGGCGACGTTAGATAAGATATTTCCTGGAGGCATCTTGAAAGTCGGGTGAGGTCAAGAAGCCATTGAAGGAGGGAAGCGTACTGTTTGAGATAGTCGCGACTGCGGGCCCTGCTCTTTGGATCTCGGCCCGGCGGGGGCTTCCCCAAACCTGCCACCGTTCCACCGGAAGGTCCGTTGCTCCAGTTGGTTCCACCCCATGAATTTGGCCGTCCAGTGGGGCCGACGGATGCTGCACCATTGACACGGCCGTCTGGCAGTGGAGAATCTAAGATGGTTAAATGAGAACGTGTTCGTTGCACGGAACAGGACGGTGCATGTACCCTCGCTCCGTGGAGAGCTGCCGCTGCTCTCTTCCTTGTGACTTTGTACGTCATCTTTTTGCGACGAAGACGAAGTCAGTGCCTGTATCACGGCCAGTTTTGCTGGGGGACCGACTGAGAGGCGGGCGGTGGTTGGGTGAGTTGTTTTGAGCTGGAGGACGGACACGTCAAAAAATAAGAAGGCGGACAAGTGGGAGATCTGCGAAAGAACAAACCGTTCCATGCGCAGGGCATATTCCAGCATTTTTATGCGACGCATAAGGTCGAGTTTTACATTCTCGAAGGAACGGCGTTCGCCCTCGAGAAGTGCTATGCGAGCCTGGATTCGGGATTAGACACGCGACGGGCGGCAAGGGATGAGGACGGACCCGCATCTCGGCGCGCTCGATCTCCATTCATTCCTGTCGCGTTCGTATTTCCTCCATTCCGTCTGGAGGTAGTGGAGAACGCTGGAAAGGTTCCAGTCTTGGCCACTCTGAAAGGGTGGCGGGGGGATTGCGTTCTGCTGCTGTTGCT